TGGGATTACATTGAATGTATATATTGCTTTTGGTAGGATGGTCATTTTCACAATATTAATTCCTCCAATCCATGAGCATGGGAGGTCCTTCCATCTCCTGGTGTCTTCCTCAATCTCTTTCTTTAAAGATTTAAAATTTTCATTGTAGAGATCTTTGATGTCTTTGGTAAGGTTTATTCCAAGATGTTTTTTTGCAGCTATTGTGAATGGGAGCATTTCCCTCTACTCTTTCACCAACTGCTTGTTATCGGTATATAGAAAGGCTACTGATTTTTGTAAATTAATTTTGTAACCTGCCACTTTACTGAAAGTATTAATCACTTCTGACAGTTTTCTAGTGGAAGTTTTGGGATCTCTTACATATAGTAACATATCATCTGCAAAAAGGGATAATTTGACCTCTTCTTTTCCAGTTAGTACTCCTTTAAGTTCTTTCTCTTCTTTTACTGCTCTAGCAAAAGTTTGAAGCACTATATTGAAAAGGAGTGGAAGTAGTGGACATCCTTGTCTGGTTCCTGATTTTATTGGAACCAGGTTTTCTTTTATTTTATTCCAGGTTTTCTTTTTCCATTTAGAATAATGTTGGTTGTGGGTGTGTTGTATTATGTTGCTTTTATTATGTTGATGTATGTTTCTTCCAGTCCAATTCCCTTTAGACCTTTTATTACAAATGCATGCTGAATTTTGTCAAAAGCCTTTTCTGCATCTATTGAGATGATGATGTGGTTTTTGTCTTTGAGTCCATATTTATGGTAGATGATGTTTATTGACTTGCATATACTGAGCCATCCTGCATCTCTGAAATAAAGCCGACTTGATTATGAGCTTTTTGATGTACATCTGTATGTGGTTTGCAAGTATTTTGTTGAGAATTTTTGCATCTATGTCAGTTGAGAATATGGGTCTATAATTTTCTTTTTTGGATGTCTCTTTACCTGGTTTTGGTATTAGAGTGATGTTGGCTTCAGAGAAGGAATTTGGGTGTTTTCCCCCACCTCTATCTTTTTGAATAATTTAAGTAGTATTGGTTTGAAGTCTTCTTTAAATGTCTGGTAGAATTCTCCTGTAAATCCGTCTGGGTCTGGGCTTTATTGAATTGGGATATTTTATATTACTGTTTTGATTTCCTTATGTCTTATGGGTCTCTTTAAACTGTTGATCTCATCTTGGTTTAACTTTGGTGGTTCCCATGATTTTATATACCCACCCATTTCTTTCAGGTTTTCAAATTTAATAGACTATCGGTTTGTAAAGTATTCCCTTGTAAGGTTCTGGCATTGTGGGTGTGTCTGTTGTGATGTTTCCCCTTTCATCTCAGATTTTGTTGATTTGGATTTGCTTTTTCTTTCTTTTGGTTAACTGGGCTAAGGGTCTGTCTATCTTGTTCAGTTTTTCAAAGAACCAGCTCTTAGATTCATTGATTCTTTGAATTGTTTTCTTTGTTTCTATTTCATTAAATTCTGCCCTGGTTTTTGTTATTTCTTCTCTCCTGCTGTGTGTGGGTTTCATTTGTTCCTGTCTTTCCAGAGTCTTGAGTTGCACTGTTAAGTCATTTATTTGTGATCTTCCTGATTTTTTGACGTAGGTACTTAGAGCAATAAACTTCCCTCTTAGGACAGCTTTCAACATGTCCCAGAGGTTTTGTTGTGTTGTATGGTCCTTTTCCTTCAAGTCCATGAATTATTTTATTTCTTTCTTAATTTCTCCTTTGACCCACTTATTATTCAGGAGTGTGTTCTCCCTTAGTTCATGTGTTTACCAGGGTTGCTTCCAGTGTTGAATTTGAGCTTTACTGCATGTGGTCTGAGAGAATGCATGGAATAACTTCAACTGTTTGTATTTGTTGAGGTTTGTTTTATGCCCCAGTGTGTGGTCAATTATTTGAGAAAGTTCCATGGGGTGCTGAATGAAAGTGTATGCTTTGGTTCTTGGGTGGAATATTCCGAAGACGTCTGTTAGGTCCATTTGATGTATGGTATCATTTAATTCTGACATCTCTTTGTTTATTCTTTGTCTGGTTGACCTGTGTAATGGAAACAGTGGTATTGAAATCCCCTGCTATTACTGAGTTGGGGTTAATCTTTGTCTTAAAGTCCCGTAGTGTTGTTTTTATGAGTTTGTGTTCACCAGAGTTTGGTGCATATATATTCCAGATTGTGATATCTTCTTGGTTAATTTTTCCTTTGATCATAATGAAGTGACCGTCTTTATCTCTTCTGACAAGTTTTAATTTGAAGTCTATTTTGTCAGATGTTGGAATTGCAACCCCTGCTTGCTTCTTAGTGCCATTTGCTTGAAATATTCTTTTTCATCCTTTCACCTTAAGGTAGTGCCTGTCCTTGATGCTGTGACAGACAAAAAAGGTCTCTTGCAGACAAAAAAGAGATGGATTTTGTTTTTCAATCCATTCAACTAGCCTGTGTCTTTTGACTGGGGAGTTCAATCCTTTGGTATTTAAGGTTATTATTGAAAGATGTGTATTGGTTGCCATCATTTTGATTACTGTTTGCGTTCTCTGCCTAATTTTGTGTTTCCTAGATTATACCTTTGTTTAGTTTCTTTCATTGCCCCTGGGGTATAGTTGTTTCTCTCTGTTCTCTGTATTGCTTCAAGTATTCTTTGAAGGGCTGGTTTTGTGGACATGTATTCTTTCAGGCAATTCATGTAATGGAAGATTTTTCTTTTCTCCTCAACTATAATAGACATTTTGCTGGGTAAAGTACTTTGGGCTGGCATCTATTGTCATGTAGAACTGGAAATATCTTGGTCCAGGCCCTTCTGGCTTTCATATTTTGCATTGATAAGTCAGCTGTAATTCTGATAGGCTTTCCTTTGTATGTGACTTGATTTTTTTTCTTCTTCTTTTAGTATTCTCTCTTTGTTCTGTACATTTAGTGTTTTTACTATGATATGTCACAGGGAGTTTCTTTTCTGATCCTATTTGGTGTTCTATGTGCTTCCTGTATTTGTATGGGATGTCTTTCCTCAATTTCGGGAAATTCTCTTCTACAATCCTGTTTAAGATCTGGTCAACACCATTATTTGTGTTTTAAGCCATTCAACTAGCCTGTGTCTTTTGACTGGGGAGTTCAGTCCATTGGTATTTAAAGTTATTATTGAAAGATGTATATTAGTTGCCATCATTTTGATTACTGTTTGCGCCCTTTGTCTAATTTTGTGTTTCCACAATTATATCTTCATTCAGTTTCTCTGTGTTGCCCCTGGGGTACAGTTGTTCCTTTCTATGTTCTTTGTATTGCTTCAAGTATTCTTCAAAGGGCTGGTTTTGTGGCCATGTATTCTTTCAGGCTATTCATGTCTTGGAAGATTTTTCTTTCCCCTTCAGTTATAATAGACATTTTTGATGGGTAAAGTAATCTGGGCTGGCATCTATGGTCATTTAGAACTGGAAATACCTTTGCCCAGGCTCTTCTGGCTTTTATAGCTTGCACTGATAAGTCAGCTGTAATTCTGATGGGTTTTCTTTATATGTGAGTTGTTGTTTTTCTTTTGTAGCTTTCAGTGTTCTCTCTTTGTTCTGTACATTTAGTGTTTTTACTAGGATATGCCCTGGGGAGTTTCTTTTCTGGTCCTGTTTACTTAGTGTTCTATGTGCTTCTTGTTTTTGTCTGGGGATGCCTTTCCTTAATTTTGGGAACTTCTCTTCTACCATCCTGTTTATGACCTAGTCAATACCATTAACCTAAAATTCTTCTCCTTCCTGTACGCCTATGATATGTAGATTTGATCTTTTCACGGTGTCTCACATCTACTGCATATTCCATTCCTGTGTTTTTTAAAATTTTCCATACTCTTTACTTAAGTGGTCCAGTTCTTCAACTTCATTCTCCAGTGTTGATGTTCTGTTTTCCATTTCATTCATTCTGGTGGCGACGCTTTCCCCTGTTGTTTCCAGTTGACTTACTGAGTTTTGTACTTCCTTCTCCATTTCTGAGTTTTCTTCAATGATCCTGTCTCTTTTGTGAATTCATTCAGAAGCTTATCCTTATCTTCTTTTAGTTACTTGATTTGTGTGTTTTTAAAATTCATAGGATTCCTTTATCATGTTTATTATTGTTCTTTTAAATTCTGTGTCCTTGATTATCTGTAGGGGACTCTCCTTATAGAGCTCTTCTATAGCACTGGTGGAGTTTGGAGGTAACATACTGTTTTGGTTTTGCATTTTATTGTTTTTCATTATGATTTTGGCATATGGATTTCTTTTGTTGTTTGTGATTCTGGTATGAAAATTAAGCCTCCTTTTGTTGAGTTGAAGTTTGCTTCTGTGTGTATTATTGGTGTGCCTTAGTTGTTTTCTTATTGGGTGTGTGAAGCTGGTTGGTTCCAGGTTCTCTCAGAATTTATTTTGGAGGGAAACTGGTGGCTTCAGGTCAGCTACTCAGGAGCTCCCACAGTGGCCCAAGTCAGGCTCCGGTCAGGTACACTCAGGCTTCCTTCTAATGTTTGGACCCTAACTAATGGTATTCAGAGCACAATTTGGGAAGTTCCCACTGGGCAAGACATTTGTAAATGTGTCCATAAATAGAGGATTTTAGAGGGGGGCGAGAGAGAGAGAGAGAGAGGGAGAGAGAGAGAGAGAGAGAGGGAGAGAGAAAGAGAGATACAAAGTGACTTTATAACAATCTGCTGTGGCAGTACCTCATCTAGTCCCTAGAGGATTCACTTACTACAGACACACCTAATCCAGTATAATCTCTCTCTCTCTCTCTCTCTCTCTCTCTCTCTCTCTCTCTCTTTCTCCCTCTCCCTCTTTCCTCTTTCCCTTTTCTTTCTCCCCTTCCGCCTTGTGCTCACATGTTGTCTCCAGTGCCCTGTATCATGTGAAATAGATGTGGAGGCTACACAGACACACACACACACACACACACACACACACACACACACACACTGAATGCTATAGTGGACAGAGAGTTCAGAAACACTCATGATTTCAGGCATCCATTGGGGGCTTAGGTCCTACCTCTTCTGGACAAGACTTCATGGCATTCACAAAGCAGCCTTTGGAGCAGTTTCGAGAGAATCCACCAGAGGGCGATGCTTCTTCACATGTGGTGGGCTGTCAGGTGGCGATTTTACATGCCAGACAGCTGCTGTGCAGTTTCTTGCTTATTATGAGTGAGGAGTTTCAACAGGATCCGGTTGAGACTAGCTCTGTCAGTGTTGGTGTCCTGCAAGAATCAAGGATCACTTTCTCCCATGAACATGTTTCCAGACACCGGCTCAGCCCTCGTGCTCCTCTTAATGCTCAGTAAGTATCGTTTACCCTAAGCATTAATGCTGTCGTTTTCTTACAGTCACGATAGCCGTTCCCATATCGCAAAGCAATTATTTCTTTTCTCTTTTTTAGTGAGGAGTAATGGAGACTCAGTGGCACAGACAGAAGGCCTGGTTACTCTCACAGAGGGGTTGCCTGTGATCCTGAACTGCACCTATCAGACCACTTTCGCCGCTTCTTTCCTCTCCTGGTATGTCCAATACCCTAGTGAAGGGCTCCAGCTGCTCCTGAAGACGGCAACTGAAAACCAGAGGACGGAGAACCGAGGGTTTCACGCCACGCTTGTGAAGAGCAGCCGCTCCTTCCACCTGCAGAAGTCCTCACTGCAGCTGTCAGACTCGGCCCTGTACTACTGCGCTGTGAGTGACACAGTGTGGGAAACTGCAGGGGGAGCTGAGCACAAATCCAGGCTCACAGGAGGGCTGCAGGGGAGCGGCCCTGTGAGGGGGGATTATAGGAGCAATGTTTGCTTAGCTTTCAGAGAATAGTCCCACATCTCAGGTCAGATTCCTAGTAATCTAGAAATGTGTGAATTATTCTGACAGGATAGGATGGGTTGATGCCAGAGACAAACCAGGCTTTGATCTCCAGAGCCAATGCTCCTCTGAAAGGCTCCTCTCTCTGAGTGGAGGAACTCTCACAGCAAAGATTTCCAGGAAAGCCCTGATGAGGGATTAATCTCTAATAATATGTCTTATAAAACATAGCAATTTAACATCACCAGAAATCTTCTGTTCTTCACTCAAATATTCATGACCCAAATGAGGAACACAGAGTCTAGTCTATGGTTCCTTGTTACAGAGAGTTCACCCTAAATCCCCACCAACGCTCACTTCATGAAGCTTCTCAGGAAACACAGCTATTGGGTGACTCTGCATAAGACCTTGACAGGCAACTCCTCCCCTGTCCTGTCTACATACTGGGTAGAAGGCAGTATGGTTAGGAGAGGTTATATCCAGCAAACCCTCCCTGTTCATATCTCTTCCTCTCTGCTGTTGCACCTACTTTAAACCCAGAAGGTGAGCTGTGGTCACCCACATGGCATTGGGCTTGGGTTCACTGTTAATTCTGAAGTAGAAGAGAGGAGGCCAAGATTTTGATCTGTCTCAATTCTGTAAACAAAATATTGGTTTAAAGTAAAATGTTTTAGTATTATTATTTATTTCTCTGTAATAGAAGAAAGATCTCAAAGAAGGAGAAGTAAAGGCAAGAGTAGTTAGCATTACAAGTTCTAGATGGAGAACCAGAAAAAAGTCAGAACGGCAAATTTCAAATGGTCATAGCAGAGTCCGTTGGGATTTCTTGATGAGAGCTCCCCAAATCATCCTTCTTTTGGGTTCCTCCTCATTTTTCTTTTGTCTGTCAAGGCTGGACTCGAGAGTGATGGATTCAGGATTTGATTTCAGGTATTTTGATAGCTGTTGGAGTGGTTAGAATCAATGTCAGTTCTGTCTCAAAGGGTTCTAGATAGGGGGAGAAAACAAATTTATCCATTGTTTTAGAACAATAGCTGGTTGTCTCCCTTAGCTAAGGGTGGGCACTACAGTATTGCAGACCAAGATTTGAAGTCTTAATCCGAGCAGCACTTTCTGATTAGGAACAAAATCATCAATGAGTAATAATTGACTAAATAACTTTTTATACGGACTTAAGTCTAATGTCTGGGAAGTGTAATTGCTACCAGACATCATGGGCAAGCAAATAAAAAGTCCAATGCCAGGAATGGACTGTCTCTTCTGGAGTTGCTGAACAGGAAGTCCCATAGACCCTCAAACCATACTGGCCATTGGCAATGTTCTTGGTTACCGTACTCCAGGAAGCTAGAAATGGTCCTTTGGAGGGCAATGCATTTAGGAGGGGCTTATAGGTGAAATGAACATAAAGAGGGGAAATACTAGGGGCAAAAATCTGCAAGCATGTAGTGGAGTGATGTGGTAAGGATGGGGAAGCAGGCATCAGTGGGAAGGTTAACCAAAATGAAGTGCGCATGAAGAGTCTGCATGGGACCTAGGGTCTTGCAGCCCCAGTGAAAATACAGCAAGAAGGAAGATAGCAGAATACATGTGATAGGAAAGAAGGGGAAGGAGCACTGGGATCTCAAGGATTAAGTACAGACGCTGGAGAGGTGGCTCAGTGGTTGAGACCACTCGCTGCTCTTCTGTAGGGCCCAGGTTCAATTCCCAGCACCCACAGGGTGGCTAACAACCACCTATAACTCCAGTTCCAGGAGATCCAATTCCCTCTTCTGACCTCTGCTGGCATTGCATGGCATGGGTGCACTTACATGCATTCAGACAATACCATCAAACACATAAAAATAATTAAAAAATAATTTACTCTAAAAAATAAGGACTTAAGTGCAGATATGAGCAGAATTATTGGGGAAAGAAGGAATGGGGTGGTATACCAAAACCAAGGATGCATGAAGCAGCCTTTTGAAACCCCAGTAATGTGTAAGTTCATCAAACTGTAATTTGTTGAAAGGAGTTTAAATGAAATATTTCCTTATAAGCATCTGTATTTCTTTGGAGTCTGTTGTAAAAACTTCCTTCTCATCTCTAATTTTATTGATTTTGGGTCCTCTCTGTCTTTTGCTTAGTTTTGCTAGAAGTCTGTAAATCTTGTTAATCTTTTCAAAGAACCAACCTTTGATTAATTCTCCATATTATTTAGTTTCTATTTCATCAGTTACATCAATAATCTTTATTGTTTATGGCCACCTAGGACAGGCTTTTTGTTTTTCTCAATATTTGGGGTAGCCATAGAAAAACTGAAATGGATGGGACATAAAAATGGTGTAATGGTGAAATAACTGTGATAAGTGCTGGTTCTCATGTGGAGTCTAACTTCTAATGTACATATGAATATTTATGTGGTAATGACTTGGGATAGAAATCAGGAAACTAGAAGCATCCCATGAGAGAGGAATGAGGGATTAAGGAGTCTTGTAGGAAGGTTAATAGAAGAAATGTGCTATAAGAATGGAAAGGAAAACACTGGAAATCAGAAGACCACAAGTTAGGGGAGGATGAGCATGAAGGGGGAGGGGCGGTGACCAACCAGCTAAGTATCAAAAAGACATAAGAAACCTGATACATTACTTGATAATTTAAATTTACATTAAATATAAAGAAACTCTACCCAGCAAAACTATCCTTCAAAAGTTAAGGAGGGAAAACAGAAAAAACTCAAAGGCTCTTCTTATCACTAAATATGCCTTTCAAGAAATGATGATTGAATAATTTTAGGACAATAGTAAATACTAAACACAGTTGTGATGACTAATGCCTGTAATTCCAACATTGAGGAGACTGAGGCAAGAGAATTGCCACAAGTTCAAGGCCACCGTGGCTTCCATAAGGACAGCCTGGACTACAGAGTGAGGATCTGTCAAAAAACAAAGCAAAAAAGCTGTAAGAAAGGATAAAGACAGGGAGAACATGGTGTCCTGGTTTGTTTCTTCACTGCTGTAACAAAACACTCTGACCACTACCAACTTGGGGAGGAAGGGTTTATTTATCTTACATCTCCCATGCCACAGTTCATCAGGGACCCCAAGGTAGGAACTCAGGGCAGGAATCTGGAGGCAGGAGCTGGAGCACAGGCCATGG